CTTTGTCTTCACGATTGTGGCCCATTATTTTTTTATTTAACTTCTATTTTGATTTGGGTGAAAGTTTGTAGAGCAAATTAATTTTGCATTCAACAGTTCAAACACATTTTATTCCATGACATTGATTGCAACCCCACAATGTGAGCGCTCTCTTCCCACTTCCTCCCTGGGTTTCCATGTGTGCTTCTCTCCTACCCCTCTCTGCCTTCTGAGCTTTATCTCTGAGCAAATGCTGCCCTCTTGTTCTGTATGGTTGAATGTTGGAAGGGTGTGTGCCTCCCTGGTGTAATTGTGCACCCTCTAGGCCTGAAGCTGTTTGATAATCTTGGTTAAGTTCTCAATGACTATTGTGGGCAAGCTGCATCCTGTTGGCATTCAACCACTGTGCTGAGTTTAGACACAATGCCTCCCTCCTCAATGCTGTTGCTGTTAAGTGCTGTGGAATCTATTCTGACTCAGAGCCACCCAAGATAGGGTTTCTGAGGAGCAGCTGGTGGATTTTAACCTGCAACCTTGTGATTAGTAGTCCAGTGCTTATCTTAGAGTGCCACACCAGGATTCCTCTTTCCTTAATCTCTCCCTGTCTGGGCCTGAGAGAAAACTGTCCAGGGGGGCCACAAGGGGATGTGTCCACTGAAAAAGAAAGGCCATTGGAGGGGTGAACTCTTTCCTGCAGCTTATAAGGAGAACAGCACCTCAGGACCACAGTCTTGGGGACATAAAGTCAGCTGGTGTAACAGGACACAAAGACAATGCTCTGCATCCTACTTTAGTGAGCAGTGACTTGGGTTTTAGAAGCTTTTGAGTGACCATCTAAGGTGCAACTATTGGTCTCTCCCCATCCGGAGCAAAAAAGAATGAAGAAAACAAAAGACACAAGAAACAACTGGTTAAAGGACTAATGGACCACATGAAACTCAGTCTCCACCACCCTGAGACCAGAAGAACTAGATGGTGCCCAGCTTCCACGGCTCAGAAAGGGAGCACGATAGAAGGTTCCTGGGTAGAATGGGAGAAAAATATGGGGAAAAACACCTTAAAATAGCAACAACAACAACAATAACAAAAACATCTGGTTCACTGGTCTGATGGATACAGGTGGAACCCCTGAGACTATGGCCTTTAATCACTCTTCAGACCTGGAGCTGAACTCACCATCAGGGACCAACTTCCAGCCAAACGATAGCCAGGACTATGAAGTCAACAGTAAGACTAGGGAGTACACGGTCCTTAGAAACAAAGGGCAGCATTGCCAAGAGATGAGACTCAGAAGCCTGGTAGGGAGAGGAAACGAGGGGAAATAGCACCAGTAAAACCAGGGAGGTATGGGCTGCGTGCCGTCACATTGTGGGAGTTACCATTGACGTCACAAAATAAAATGTGTATAAATTATTGGATGGAAAACCAGTTTACTCTGGAAACTTTCACCCAAATCACAATAAAAAGTTTAAAAAGTAACAAGAGAGAGAAGAGGCTGTGAAGGCCAGATGAACCTTGGAATTCAATGCGCAAACTTCGTTGAGCGTGTATGACACACAAATATTTTTCTGTTGTTGTTACGTGCCATTGGCTCTGACTCATAGCAACCCTGTGCACACCAGAATAGAGCACTGTCTGAGCCTCCACCAGCCTCACAGCCATTGCTAATTTGAGCCCAGTGTTGTAGCTACTGTGCCATTCCACATAATTTGAGGTCTTCCTCTTTTTCCTTGACCCTCGACTTTCCCAAACATGATGGCCTTTACCAAGAGCTGGTCCCTCCTGATAACCTATCCAAAGTACATGAGATCAAGTCTCACCACCCTATCTTCTAATAGGTACTGACTGCACTTCTTCCTACACAAATCTGTTTGTTCTCCATCGCACTTAACAACATTCTTCTCCAACACCATGACTCAAATGCATCTCTTCATCTATGGTCTTCCTTATTCACTGTCCAATTTTCACAAGCATATGAAGCTATGGAAAATACCATGGCTTGGGTCAGGTACACTTTATTCTCAAAGTGACACCTCTGCACTTTAACACTTTAAAGAGGTCTTGTGTAGCAAATTTGCCTAAAGCAATCAGTCCTTGGATTTCTTGACTCCTGCTTCCATGAATATTGATTGTTGATTTAAGCAAAATGAAATCTTTGACAAGTTCAACATTTTTCTCTGTTTACCATGACACTATTTATTGGTCTGGGTATGAGGATTTTTGTTTTCTTCACACTGAGGTGCAATCCATACTAAAGGCTGTTGTCTTTGATCTTCATGAGCAAACAAAATTTTGTCTTCTGCATGTTACAGATTGCTAATGAACCTTCTTCCAATCCTGATAGTATGTTCTTCTTCATATAGCCCAACTTCTTGGACTATCTGCTCAGCATACAAATTGAATAAGTGTGTTGGAAGGATACAACCCTAATTTTAAAGCAGTTTTGAAGCCATTGAGTATCTAACTTCAGACCTTTGCACATTTTATTATAATTTGTCACTTTGACTTCTGTTCAAACAGTTGCCTCTTGGTCTATGTACAAATATCACATGAATCCAATGGACTCTTCTGGAATTCCCATTCTTTGCAATGTTAACCATACTATGTTATGATGCACACAGAGGAATGTCTTTGCATGGCCAATAAAACACAAGTAAACACCTTTCTGGTATTTCTGCGTTCAGCCAAGCTCGATCTGATGTCAGCAATGGTAGCCTTTGTCTGATGTCCTCTTCTGAATCTAGCTTGAAATTCTAGCAGCTCCCTGTTGATGTGCTGCTGCAATTGCTATATATATATATATTTTTTTTTTTAAGTTTTTATTGTGAATTTAGTGAAAGTTTACAGGGCAGATCATGAGTTTTACATTCTACAAATCATATACTTTGTTTCATGACAATGTTTATAATCCCCTCCATGGACCATCAGCTAACAGTATTTCTCTGTATTCATTTTAGCTCTTTTTTTTTTTTAAACATTCAGGCATATATAATAATTTACACCACATTCAAGGGCACATTCTGTAAGTCTGCCTCCTGGCCACCAGCTCTCAGTCCCTCTCTTTTCATGAATCTAGACTCCTCAGCTGCTCCCTCTCTCCATGTCCCCACCTCTGCCTCCATCTCTGGTGTTGTTGCTTCTCTGGATAAGGTCCCACACTCCGCTTTTGCTCTTCTCCCTTGATGGTCCTAGGGTTCTGGACTGTAAGATTAGCTACTCCCCTGTTTTTGTTACATAGCTTCTACCTTTACAATTGTGACCATCGCGGCAATTGCTTTTTAATTATCTTCAGCAAAATTTTGCTTGCATGTGATATTAATGATATTGTCCAATAATTTCTGCATTCTGTTGGGTCACCTTTCTTTGGAATGGGCACAAATATGGATGTCTTCCAGTCTGTTCACCAGATAGCTGTCCTTGAAATTTCTTGACATTGGGTACCTCCAGTTTGTTGAAATATTTCAATTCCATCAATTCCGGAAGCCTTTTTTGTGGCTAGGGCCTTGTACTTCTTTCAATCCCATCAGTTCTTGATCAAATGCTAGGTCCTGAAATGGCTGAATGTCAACCAGTTCTTTTTAGTAGGGTGACTCAATATTTCTTCTACTTTCTTTCTTCTTTTTCTTTTTTTAATGTTTTATTGTAAATTATGTGATAGTTTACATGGGAGAACATTAGCTTTACATTCATCTTATTATACTTTGTTGATAGATAAGTGATTACTGGCAAGTTTACAGCCAAGAAAATGCTAGGGGACTTTAATAAAATAGATCATGCTGTTTTGGAAAAATTAATGTAGAGGATGTGCTCAAACCCAAACTGACCAAGTAGAGAATGTGTTGGTTGTTGAATACCGGGGGTTGCCATGAATCTGATTCCACACACTAACAGCAGGAACCACGTGAGGATTATACAGATTTACTACAAAAACAAAGTGAAGAAACGCCTACAGACACAGGTGGAAGCACTCTGGAAGGTCTTGGTTTATTCCTTATTCAAAGGCACCCAGAAGTTGTTCTCCTGGAAGGTTTGAATGGATACTTAGCTGTTGTTTTCCTACTCTGCCATGATTAAAAACTAATGAGATACCTTCAAATAACAAATTTCTCACATAAGGGACCTGAGGGCACAGTGGTTAAAGTAATAAACTGCTAACCAAAAGGCTGGTAGTTCAAACCTATCAGGCATGCCCTGTAAGGACCAAACTGATTTTACCTGATTTTGCCTACCTAGAGACTGCTTGACTAAACTCTAGTCAGGCTCAGGAAAGCATTTTAAATAGACAAGGCCTCAGTTTTTAGTTCCCTCCAGAGAAAAGGTCAATCTCCATTCTGTACATTAGCCTGAACACGTCCTCTAGCTCCAAGAAAATGATATATGTATAAATAGCCAGGCAGCTCAAGGCCAGAGGCCAGATATTTTCCTTTACCCTAGCCTAAGAACAAAGACCACCAGTCCTGACCAATTAAACTGTAACATCTCATAGTTTGCCAATTGTTAACCAATCCAAAGATTGTAAAGCTGAGAAACCTGAGCTGTTTGAAAACTCTATAAAAACCCTACAGACAATGAATTCAGGGCTCTTTCCCTATTCCGCTGCATAGGGTAAGGTTAGAGACCTGGCTCGAGCTTGAATAAATTACCCTTATGTATTTGCCCTTATGTATTTGCATCGGTACACGGCTCCTGGGTGGTCTTTGGGGACCCCGAATTCTGGGCATAACAGCCTGAAGGAGAAAGAAATGACAGTCTGTTTCCATAAAGATTGGAAGCCTTGGAAACCCTCCGGGGCTGGGCTGGGCTGGCCCACGGGATTCCCTCCGGGACTGGGCTGGGCTGGCCCACAGGATTCCTATGAGTTGGAGTTGTCTCAACATCAGTGGGTTGGGTCGGGTTTTTCAGGGTGAAATGAGGGATTTTCAATGACAATTTTGACGACACACTAACTATTAAGATAACTGTCTAAAGTAACCCCTTTGTCAAATGTGGCCCCACAGTAATCTCTTTTTTCTCCTTGTTAGGTCGACTAGACGACCAATACATAATTAGATTTATGAAAGAAAAGCTAAAATCTATGCCTTGTAGGAATCAAGGTTACATTTTGGATGGTTACCCCAAGACCTATGATCAAGCAAAAGACTTGTTCAGTCGTAAGTTTGAGTTTTCCTTTTTATTTTCCATGTTTATATCCAGGCAAAGGGGGCCTGGTGGCACAGTGTCTAATAAACACTCGGTTACTGTCAGGAAGGTCAGCAGTTCAAACCCACCAGTCACTTTGTGGAAGAAGGATGTGGCCCTCAGCTTCCATACAGAGGCTAACCTTGGCATACCATGGGGCATCGCTGCCTGTAAGGTCACTATGAATTGCACCCCACTCAGCGGTATTGGGTTGGGTTTTGGTTTTACTTCCAGGTTCTTCAAAGAAATAGTCACCCAGTTAAAACAAAAAAAAAGCCCCAAAACCAGGGAGACTATTTATTTCTCAAATCCATGCTTCCCTGTGTATGGCACCGATCTGCCTTCATTCGTGACTGACTGCTTGTTAAAATAGTTGAGTCTGGGGGGAGCTAGGCACAGCAGCAGTATGCTAATAAATATCCCAATGTGTGCTCTGCTTTGCTTTCCGTAGAAGATGATGATGAAGAGGAAGAAGAAATCAGAGGCAAAATGTTCCCCTTTGATAAATTAATCATACCCGGTAAGTTAAAAATATTTCTCCAAGATTATATTTAAAGGAATGTTATTCAATATCTCTTTGGTACCTTAACAGGCTTTTTAAAGTTTTATGAAATAGCTCATCCTGCCTTCAGAAAACTGAATGTACAGGCTGTGCTCGAACACAAACCAACCAGCTAGAGAATATGTTGGCGGTTGAGCACTAGAGGTTTGGACGTACTGTAATTGTATAAATTCCTTTGAGAACAGCATCCTCGCCTGTAGCAAAGCAAAACATTGAGGGTGTTGTGACTTCTAAGAGCGTCTGCAAGGCCACCAAGACTGCCTCCCCTTAGTTCCTTCTGGGTTAGGTATTAGCTGTACCCTCATCCTTTCCAGAAGGTACCCGGAGTCTTGAACTGAGATTGGGCAGGTGAAGAGCTTTCCCGTTAGTTCCCAGTTGGCGCTGTAACGTGTTTTCATACAGAGCTCTCACGTTGCGTTCCTGAAAGGAAACACAGACAACTAGTTCCACTCAATCAGATGGGCCAAGTTACTTAAAACAGGCATTTCCTGTGACCTTGCCGTGAACTTTCCAAAGAAGTTGTTGTTTTGTGTTGTGTTTTTTTTTTTCAGCCAGTTTGCGTGAAGCTTTAATCATAAACCAAAAAACAAACCCACTACCGCTGAGTCAATTCCAACCCCTGGTAACCCTGTGTAGGGGTGTTGAGGCTGTCGATCTTGATGGGAGCAGGAAGCCTCATCTTTTACCCTCAGAGCTGCTGGTGGATTTGAACTGCTGACCTTGTGAGTAGCAGCCCGTGGCTTAATCACAGGGGGTATGGCAGATACAGGACCACGTCCTCTCAGCCTCTCAATACAAGGCCATAACTTGAAGTACCCCCTGACTTTTGTCGACGCTCCCAGCGGAGGCAGTAATTCTTTCTCCTCTTGGTCCCGGTGCCTGGCAGAGAAGCTTCTAGAAGCAGCGCCCACCAGAGAGCTGTCCTCCTCAGGGATGGGTGTTTGTTGTCTTCCCGGAGGCACTGAAACCTGTGACAGAGACACAAGACACTGAAGAGATGAGTTGCCTCCGGTTTCCCATTAACTTAGACAGTCTTTCTCAGGAAATGAGTCCAAAAACTGAAGTGAATGTGTCTGAGTAACCAGCTAGTGCCCAGTTTTGAGACCCGAACACTTCTGAACAATGTCTGTTGCACACTGCATGGTAAAGGTCATCGGCAGCTGAGGGGACTGGAGAAGATTCAGCTTCAGGAACCACAAGAACAAATAAAACAGACTCCATAGCACATGAGGACAGACAACAAGATGGGCTGTTGAGAGTTTTCAGCAGCCCTAAGAGGCTAGAATAATGCCCCACCTCCCAGATCCAGAAACATGCTCAAGTCCATTCTACTGGTTGTTGTGAAGTGCCGTCCAGTCTGTCTAAGGTTTCTGAGGAGCGGCTGGTGGGTCTGAACCTTGTGGTTCAAATCAACCTCGTGGTCGACTGCTTATCCTACACTGCCACACCAGGACTCCCACTCTGCTGGTAGATGGCAGGATTTCCATCTCAACTCCCTTGCCAGCAAAACCAGAAGTAATTCAGACTCCCCTAAAGAGCCCTGGGGAGGGTGGTGGCTCCATGCAATAAGCACTGGACTGCAAACCACATGGTCAACTGTTCTAGCCTGCCAGCCGCTCTGCAGAAGAAAGATGAGGCTTTCTTCTCCCACAAAGATTTTTTAAAGTCTCAGAACCCCTAAACAGTGTCACTGTGAGTCAGAACCTTCTCGATGACACTTAACAACAACAGGGAGCCCTGGCAGTGCTGTGGGTTGGGTGTTGGGCTTCTGTCCTTAAGGTCGGCAGTTCAAACCCACCAGCTGATCCCAGGGAGAAAGATTTAGAGTCTGAGAACCCTTAGAGTCACTGGGAGTGGGAACCAACTTCATGGCAGTGGGTTTTGGTTTGTTTTTTCTCTGTAAGATACATACTCCCATCACGTAGAGTCCAACTCATCATTACCCTGAAAGACAGAATGGAACTCTGATGAAGATGAAAGAGCACAGCCTTCGGTATGGGTTACTCCTCAACATGAAGAAAACAAACATCCTCACCTCCGGACCAATAACTGACATCCATATCAATGGAGAAAAGATGGACGTTGTCAAGGACTCATTTTGCTCGGATCAACCATCAACACTCATGGAAGCAGCAGTCAAGAAATCAAACAACGTAATGCATTAGGCAAATCTGCTGCACAAGACCTTTTTAAAGTGTTGAAGAGCAAAGAAGTCAGCTTGAGGAGTAAGGTGTGCCTGACCCAAACCATGGTATTTTCAATAACCTCATATGCGTGTGAAAGCTGGACACTGAATAAGGAAGACCATAGAAGAATTGATGCCTTTGAGTTATGGTGTTGGAGGAGAATATTGAAAGTGCCACGGGCTGCCAAAAGAACAAACAGATCTGTGTTGGAAGAAGTACAGCCAGAGTGCTCCTTGGAGAGAGACCACGATGGCCAGACTTTGTCTCTCATACTTGGGACATACTGTCACAAGGGGACCAGTCGCTGGAGAAGGATATGTTTGGTAAGGTGGAGGGTCAGAGAAAGAGAGGAAGACCCCCCAACGAGATGGATTGGCCAAGTGGCAGCATCAATGGGCTCAAACATAGCAACGATTGTGAGGTTGGCCTAGGATCAGGCAGTGTTTCGTTTGTTGTGCATAGGATCTCTGTGAGTTGGTACTGACTCGATGACACCTAACAACAACAACAACAACAAGGCTGTAAATCTCTACAGAAGCAGACTACATGTCTTTCTCCTGTGAAGCAGCTGGTGGGTCCAACCAGCGACCTTTGGGTTAGCAGGTATGTCCTTTAACCTCTGCGCCACCAAGGCTCTTTAGTCTATAAGGTTGTTGTGGTTAATTGCCGTCGACTCAGTTTCGATTCATAGCAAACCTATATAGGGTTTTCTGAGGAGCAGTTGGTGGATTTGAACTGCCGACCTTGTGGTTCTACATCTTGAAACCACAGAGATAAGAGGATGAGTGCTGCTCAATCACTGCCCACAGGCCCGCCCTGTCTCTCTTGGACACAATCCAAAAACCTGCCTAAAGTGTAGTTTCGTCTGTTTTCAGTAGATAATGCTTTTGATTCCCAGAAATTGTCGTTACTCCCTTTACTCTCCTTCTGAGAGAGACATTAGCAGACCCATGCTTTGGGAATGTTTGTCCTAGTTGGCAGGTCTTTCATTGATAAATGATTGTATTTGACCGCTGACGTAATCCTGCGTCCAGTTTGATCCCTTCCAGATCTTGTAGTTGAAAGAGACAAGTGTGGAGTTGTACCTACCTGTTGAATATGGAAAATTTGAAAAACAGAGACTGCCAAGTGACTCGTGATAATCAAAGACAGTGACCTCTTTGTTAGGGACAATCTGACCAAGCAGAAATTACATGATGTCCACAGTTAGCCAAGACAATGACAGCTGACCTTCAGAATAATGATCTGGGAACACTGCAAGATTTTGAAGTTCACTCCAAATTTTACAGGCAAAAAGACCTTTTTAAAATAAAAAAAATAACTATAGTATCATTCTGCTTGTTGGCTGGGTGTATGTTGTAAAGTCGGTTCCGACTCCTAGCGATCTTGTAAAGGGTTTCCGAGGCTGTAAATCATTACAGGAGCCGAAAGCCTCATCTTTCTCCTGCATACTATCATTCATTCATTATATTAATGTTCTCTAAAAATAGGAAAACCAAGTATGCCATTCACTCAGTATCCACAACATTAGATGATCTCCCAGCCACTCTGGAAAAAAAAATACTACATTTTCAAATCCCTAGATTATTAATGAAGTTCTGGTGGTACAGTGGGTTCAGCGCTTAACTGCCAACCAAAAGGTCAGTGATTTGAATTGAACCCACCTGCCACTCTGCAGGCCCCTAATGAAGCAGTCTCCTTCTGTAACAATTTAATCTTCGAAACCCCAGGGAGTAGCTTTGCTCTATCCCAGAATCAACTGGAAGGTAGTGGCTGGGTAGACTTGTCACAGAATTCTTGAGTTCTCATCTCCATGCCAGACATCAGGGGTTATAAATCAACTCAGTTTCCAGTAAATTTATTCACATAATTTAGATCTACGTAGTGTACCTTTGACTAGGAGGCCGGGTGGTGGTGTAGTGGGTTATACTTTGGGGTATTAAACATGGGAGCAGTGATTCAAATCCACCATCTGCTCTTCTGGAAAAAGATGAGGATTTCTGATACAGGATCACTATGAGTCGGGAGCGACTCAATGGCATGCAACTACTATTATTTTGTAATCCAGAGCTCTGCATTTCTTTTCCTTCCTCTTCAACACTCATAAAACCAAAAGGGTCCAAGATGAGCAAGGCTGAAATCTGTCAGAATAGTGGTGGTATAGGACAGCGATGAAGAATGTCTTCCACAAGGTCAGCAAATGCCTGAGCCGACACGTTAACCGACAACAACCAACTCCACAGTTCGGTCAGCCTCTGTCTTCATGATAAACACACAGAATTCACTTGTGTTCTGTGCACCCTGGGGCCATGTCCGGCCTGCGCTCTCCCCAGCACATTGACTTGCCTCCTAGTGAAGCAATGGGTTAAGTGCTGAGCTTCAAACCTCAAGGGTGGTGGTTCAAACCTACCAGCCGCTTCTCAGGAGAAAGATGAGACTTTGTGCCCTCGTCAGGAGTCTCAGCTCCACTCTGCCCTGTTGGTCTCTATGAAGACAGGTGACTTGATGGCACTGGTGGGGCTCCTCTTAGACCACTGCTGAATTGCGGCCGTTAACTTGATTCCAACTCACAATGACCCTGTAGAGGATTTCCGGGACTGCAAGTCTTACAGGAGCAGAAAGCTTCACCTTTCTGGTAGGTTTGAACTGTTGACTTTGTGGTTAGCAGTCCAGTGCTTATCCTACAGCACCACCATGGCTTCTAAATCATGAGGGTCTAGGCACCACTGGGATTCGAACCCAGGATCTTCTGGTTACTGTGGTGATGGTTGGTTCCAACTCATAGTGATCCTGTATAGGGTTTCCAGGGCTGTAAATCTTTTCAGGAGCAGAAAGCTTCACCTTTCACCCACAGTAGATTTCTCCAGCTGGTGGATTCGAACTGCTGAACATGAGGTTAGCAGTCCAACACTCAGGGCTCCTTCAAGTAAGACCATTGGGATGCAAATGACATTGTTATGTGGTGAACCGCTGCAATCTTAGAGTGGAAATTTGATCATTTCCAAGCTTTGACAGGTTCTTGTTGGTAGCAAATTACCCGTGACCCCACTGACTGATTCAGTTGTTGAGAACGGAACAGTGTTGTCTGAAACTAGCAACTCTCACTGGAGAAATCATTTCACGGATCGGCACTTCAGTCAGTCAACAGATGTCAATCATGAACTTCATTCTGCAAGCTCCAGCAATCACTGTTTTCACAGCTTAAAAGGGAACCGCAGGTGGGTAAGACAAGGCCTGTCCTTCCTGTGACCCACGTCTCAGACGCTTGTTTGGGGAGGGCCGACCGTGTGGTGGCAAACACAGGTGTCTGCTCAGCACTAAGGGAGGGAGGAGCTGTTGGCACATGAAAATCCCTGAGGGAGGGTCCATGTCCAGGCGCTGGGCAGTCCAGACAGCAGGCACATTGCTCAGAGCCACTGGTCTCAGTGGGAACCTGTGATTTCGCGTGGGAAGAGGCAAGCTGAGGATTGGCGGCACAGCTGCTAATGTCATGGGGTTAATTTTATTAAAAGGAAGGGAAGACAGAAGGGAGGGAAGAGAGAAAAATGAATAAAGATTACACAAAATGTACAAAACTCAAAGTTGGTTGAGTATCACAGGCATCACATGGCAGGCTCTGGAAATGCTGGTGGTTTGGGGGCATTTATCTCCCTGAGAAAGGCACTCTGGTAGGGCAGATTACCAGCTGAGCTGCTAATTGCAAAGCCCGCAATTCAAATCTGCAAGTCGCTCCTCAGGAGAAAGATGAGGCTTTCTGCTCCCGTCAAGATCTACCGCCTCCGAAACCCTATACAGGGTCATCTGTGTTGGAAGAAGTGCAGCCAGGGAGCTCCTTAGAGGCCAAGATGTCTAAACTTCATCTCTCATACTTCCGACATATTGTCAGGAGGGACCAGTTGCTGGAGAAGAATATCATGTTTGGTAAAGTGGAGGGTCAGAGAAAAAGAGGAAGACCCCCCAACCAGATGGATTGACAGAGCGGCAGCATCAATGGGCTGAAGCGTGGCAACAACTGTGAAGTAGGCCCAGGACTAGGCAGTGTTTCGTTCTGTTGTGCATAAGGTTGCTATGAGTCAGTACCAACTGGATGGCACCTAACAACAACAACAACGAGTCAGAAGTGATTTGATGGCACACCACCACCGACACCAACACCACCACCCCCCTCTGATGAAGGAGTCCTGATGGCACCGTGGGTTAAGCATTGAGCTACTAACTGAAAGGTCAGCAGTTCAAACCCACCTGTCACTGTGTAGGAGAGGTCTGCCTCTGTAAAGATATCTAGCCTCCGATCCGCCGTGGCAGATCCCTCCTGCCCTATGGGGGCGCTAGGAATCAGAATCCACTCGTCTGCAGTGGGTTTGTGTTGGAGTTTGCTTATCCTCCACAAGAGGGCACGGGTAAGCTCCCCCTCTTCCATGGAGACCTGCTTCCTGTCCCGGCCAAGGCACCTCATGTGCTGCTTCTGGGATGCTCAACAGGTTTCACTGGAGTTCCCAGATTAAGACAGACTAGGAAGAAAGACCTGGCGATCTATTTCTGAAAATCAGCCTAGGACGTCCAATCAACAATAGCCCTCCCGGAGAGGCAGTAGAAAGGCCGGTTGGACTGGCATTTGCAGCCCCATGATGTCCCCAGGGGGTCAACCTGTCAGTCTGTCACCGGGTCTAATCAGGAGCTTGTCCTTGCCCCCAGAGTTCGTGTGTGCGCTGGACGCCTCCGACGAGTTCCTGAAGGAGCGTGTGATGAACCTTCCCGAGACCTTCGTAGTGGGGACCCACTACACCCAGGACCGCTTCCTCCGGTCCCTTAGCAACTTCCGGGACATCAACACCGACGACGAGACCGTCTTCAACTACTTCGATGAGCTTGAAATTCACCCGATACCCATCGGTATGACCCAAACCCAGGGGAACGTGAATGTGAAAGCGTGCCTGTGTAAACAGGGAGCTGAGCAGACAGGACACCACTTCTGTTCCAGACAGACATGTGGCCTGAGTGTTTGATGGTGTCTTTGTATGAAAACACCTGGATTTACAGACAGGCCTCCATGCTGCCACCTCCCTGTCGTGTGCTTAGCAGACACTGCAGGTTTCACATGTTGACGGTCTGGGGCCATACTGTGAGGAACATGCCTGTTGGTGCCACGTTTCCATAGCTCCTGCTGGGTGCGTGCCTGTCACACAATGGCATCCACACACTATCGCAAGCTTTTTTCATCATCGTGCGATTGCACACTTCATGGACTAGCATCAGCGTCATTTTTATCTGCACCAGGAAACCCACCCCCATAAAAAAAGTGTGATTCGCTTTATTGAGACATTAACTTGCGGTCTGGAATAGAACCCTTGATGTCTTGAAGTGTGTCTGTATTATGAAGTCATATGCCGAATAGGTTTTAAAGATAAGAACCAGGCACTTCAAAGAGATGTCGTAACTTCAGGCTGCTTGGGTCTTGGGGACAGTGTTGTGTCTCCGGTTAAGCCTTGGGGGCACTTCACAGAGCCTCTGGGGGCCTTCAGAGCAGACCACTGTCCCCAAAGTCCCTCCGCCTTTGCTGTAGTGCAGGGCAGAGCTCGGGACACACCATGGGCCTGGTGGTCCCACTGATCAGTCCCAGATCTCAGCTCTCACAGTGGTGTCTATCCCCTGGACTTCTTTGATGGATTTTTGCATCCTGAGTCCTTCCTGCCTCTGGGTTTACAAGTTGCATCCACCTCAGCCACCCAGACAGGGCAGGGTGTGGACCCAGAAGGACCACAACTAGACAGGAGCCCTCCCTCCTTCCATGGCCCTCCTCTCTTCTTCCTTTCCTCCCTCCCACTCCCCACAGCCCCTTCCCTGCCATTACCTTTCCCCTCCCCTTCCTCATCCCTCTCTCCTCCCCTTCCTCCTCAGTCCCTTTATCCCTCCCTCCCTTCCTGCTCACTCTCCCTTGCTTGTCTGCTAATAGAAAGGTTGGAAGCAGTTCACATCCACCTAAAGGTGCCTCACAAGACAGGTCCCAGAAGAAACAGGGTTCTACTCTGTCACATGGGTTGTCATGAGTCAGAACCAGCCCAAGGTACTGTGGGCCCCACTGTAGTAGTAACCACCCTGTGAAGGAAACAAGGAGAAATAGATTGTTTCTGAGAGACCGCAGCCTTGCAAACCCTGTGGCACACAGGCCTCTACTGTGTCACATGGGTTGTCATGAGGCAGAGGTAGCTCCATGTACTGGGGGCACCATTACAGTAGTAACTACTAGATGGGGAGCCCTCTGTGTGGTCCAGGTGTGATCACAACTAGACAGGGAGCCCTGTGTGTGGTCCAGGTGTGACCACAACTAGACAGGGAGCCCTGTGTGGTTCAGGAGTGATACAGCTAGACAGGAAGCCCTGGAGCATGGATATGTCTTGACCTTGTCTCTCCTTGTGCTGGAAGATGTAGGGAAACTGGAAGATGTGCAGAACAGGCTCGCTATCAAGCAGCTCATCCGAGAGATCGGGGAGCCACGGAACTATGGTCTAACAGATGAAGAGAAGGCAGAGGAGGAACGCAGGGCTGCTGAGGAGCGGCTGGCCAAGGAGGCCGCTGAGGAGGCAGAACGTGAGCACAACGAGGCTGTGGAGCAGGCAGAGAAGATGGCGCGCTGGGAGGAGTGGGTGAGTGTGTGTGCGTGTGAGCACATGTGCGTGTCCATGCAATGGTAAGTCCAAGTGCAAGTGTGTGCACCTGTGTGTGTCTGAGTACATGTGTGAGGTATGTCAGTATGAGCGAGTGTGTGTAAGTACTGAGTGTGTGTGCGTGTGTAGTGTGTGTGTGTGTACTGTGTGGGCGTGTGTGTACTGTGTACTCTGTGTGACTATGTGTAGGTATCTGAGTGTGTGTGTGCCTGTATGTGTCTGTATACATGTGTGAGGTATGTCAGTATGAGCAAGTATGTGTGAGTGTGTGTGTGCTCTGTGTGTGTGTGCATGAGTGAGTGAATGTGGGTCAGTACTGAGTGTGTGTGCATATATAGTGTGTGTGAGTGTGTGTACTGTGTGGGTGTGTAGTATGTACTCTGTGTGTGTGTAGTGTGTACTCTGTGTGCATGTGTAGTGTGTGTGAATGTGTGTACTGTGTGGGTGTGTGTGTAGTGTATACTCTGTGTGTGTGACTGTGTGTAGGTATCTGAGTGTGTGTGTGCTACACATGTGTGTGTACTGTGTGTTTGTGAGTGTGTGTGTGTGAATGTGTAGTGTGTATACTCTGTGTGTGTATCTGAGTGTGTGTGACTGTGTGTATTTGTATGCGAGAGTATGTAGTGTGCGTGTGTACTCTGTATATATGTATCTGTGTGTGAGGGTGTCTGACTGTGTGTGTACTCTGTGTGCATGAGTATCTGAGTGTGAGTGTGGAGTGTGTGTGTATTGTGTGTGTGTGTGAGCACACATGTGTGTGTTTGGACTGCTCACCTTTCTCTAATTATTTTACCAGGCAAACTCTTGGTCAGGTAGCTTAATACAGATTTTGGGAATCAGCCTCGTGGGTTGTGAGGCAGGAGTTCAGCCCTGGGCTCTCCCTGATGTCCCAGTTGGACAGGTGGCTGGCTGGACAGTTGGACATGAGACCCACCCACACCACTGGGCTGCAAAGGTGGTTTCTTACCAGAAATTTGGGATTATTATTACTCCCTGCATAGAAGGGGCTGTACCACACCAGTACGCTCCAGACTTTACTGGGGCTAGCTTATATTCCTTTTTTTTTTGAACCTTTGCTCTATCTGTGTAGCTGGAAACTATTTTGTTTAAGAAGTGAAGGAGGCTTCCAGTTCACTGCTTTCTGCATGTCAGCTGTCTTAGCGCCATTCTGAGGGAAATTCCATCTCCCTCAGAATGTGGAAAACATTCTCTTATGTGTTTTATGTATTTTATTTTTGAACTTTTTATTATGAGCTGGATGAAGTTTTACAGAGCAGATTCCTTTTCCACTCAACAATTCAGACACATTTTGTTTCATCTCATTGATTGCAATCCCCCTCTCGGAACATCACTTCACCCCACTCCCTCCCGATTCCCAGTCCTCTTCCTTTCCTAACCCTTCTGAACTTTGTCTTTGTATAAATTCCACCCCTACCGACTCGACGGCACTTAACAACAACAACAACAATCACAAATGGTTGAATTCTGAGGTGTGTATACCTCACAAGTGTGGTTGTTCCCCTTCTAGACCTGCCTGTTGTTTAGCTGGATAGTGAACTGTGGGGGGGTGAGTTTAGTTCCAGACCTGAAGGGGGACTAAGAGCTGGAGTCTCAGGGGTTCCACCATCTCTATTTGCAGAAAATGAATGACAATCATTCTTCCCATCGCTAGTCCTCAGCTAGGTTCCATAATCCTTTGCAATTGGCCACACAAAACTCAGACAGCACACTCACAGTTAGGGGTTTATTAAGGAAATCAACAAGTTACAATTCAGGATGGAAAATGTTCAGGGCACAGTTCTTCCAGTCAGGACAGCCTCTCAGCCTTGTCCACAGGCCGTCCTCTCTCTTCCCGGGTGGACTGGACGTTGTTACAAAGCTTTTTTAGGGCTGATGATAAATGCCCCCAGGGCACTCCATTCCATCATAATAAACCTCACCCTGAAGGCACTTGGCTCAGTCTCTCAGTTTGACTCGTTCTGTGGGCTGGGAAGCCCCCCACTCAATCTCATGGCTGGCTCTCGGTTCTGCTCCTCTGCCCCTCCTCCAGCTTCACAGCTTCCTGTCCCTGGTCGGTTGAGGAGGGTCAGTGTACAGGGATCTCAGGCACCAAAGGCCACGCTCCATTCTTGGCTCCTCGTCTTTGATGGGACTGAGATCCCCCTCCCTGCTTCTGAGACAGCTCATTTTATGCCCACATTAGAGTTCACGTTTTTACCATCTCAATGAGTTCTGTTAACCACCACACTGAAATCCTATCATTCTATCAGCATCTTCTCCCACCTTCTTACTCAAGCCTAGCAGGGTAAAGATGTTTGGGGGGAGTTACAAAGACTGTATGTAACTAAGTGCACAGCACCCTCAGCCTAAAGCTGCTCTCTTGGCTGGTTTTGAGCTTTGTCCTACATTTTTCTCATAACCGTACCCTGCTCTAATGTGCTGGCTGGTGAGTTGTAGGCGAGTGTTCTCTTTGCTTTGACAGTGTGTTTGTCCCACTCTCGAATGTTCTAGAATAAGCGGCTAGAGGAAGTGAAGAGAGAAGAAAGAGAGTTACTGGAGGCCCAATCGGTCCCCCTGAGGAACTACTTGATGACTTATGTGATGCCCACCCTGATGCAAGGACTAAACGAGTGCTGTAAGGTCAGACCTGAGGACCCCGTGGACTTTCTGGTAAGAGGTGTAGGCTTTGGTGTGTGTGTTTTTTTGTTTTTTGTTTTTTTTTTTAAAAAAGCACATCAATTTGAAAACAAGATGAATCTAAACCAACAAAAAAACAGTTGACAGAAAGAGAAATCGTCTGTCTGATTATTTGGGAAAGAGCCTCCATGCCATTTACGGTTTTAATGAGATTTTTATTATTCATTAGGAAGTAAAGAAAGCTATATGGACTCTTATTTTTAAATGTTGAAGCATTAGTATTATAAATATATGACAAAGCTATCCATCAACTCTCTTTTCTTCTCTTAACCTTAGGCAGAATATCTCTTCAAGAACAATCCTGAAATGCAGTGAAAAACGTCAACATTTTGGCTTACCTACCTTTGCAGAGCTAGAGAGCAATATAACGTTGTGATCAGAAAATTTGCTTTAAATTTTTTTTCCCCGTTTTTCTTTTTCTTTAAGCTTCTGCAATCATTTATTGTATTCTGAGAATCATTATAAAAAGCCACCTGACAATGAATGACCATTTCATTAATACCATATTTGGAAGGCAAATTGATATCTGCGCGTAGATCACGGGACAAATACTGACTTAATATTTCATTCTGAGGTCACTTATAAGTATTCTGCACACTGATTGGATTTTCAGCAAGAAGAGCATCAGGCTACATATTTATCTGTAACATGTAGGCTCATGGATGTACATGATTTGTTATGGCCCCAATACCAAGGGTGGTACGATTGGAAATCAATTATGATGGCTTTGCTTTGTTGAATCACACTAAGCCAGACATGATAGTTTCCAAAAGATTGCTTTTTGAGTTTAGGGTGAGAATCCCATCTAATGAATCAGAAAGAATTGTAAATGTCTTGGTAGAAAAACTCATCTAACAGAATGAATACTTCTAACATTTTTAATAATTAGAGAGTTGCTGAGTATTTTTATCAAACTAGCTTTATCGTCTAGGCAGAAACTATGAATTCCTATACTCTTTCCGGTTCTGAAATTCCATAATTCCTAGGATTCGTTTAGGTATATTTTAATGACATATAAAAGACTCCACTCCTTTAAATTTATACACACATAGTATTTTTAAACAGATAACATACATACACTTGCAAAAATACCTTGGGGGAGGGTATGGTTGGCTAAAAGCAATGTATGACATGCAAGTGATTTGTGTAAAAATAACCTGATTGTAACTGACTTTTTAACTGCGGTGAAATACATATGACATGAAATTCCTGTGGTGACCATTTTCTAGTGGCATTGATCTCGCTCACAGTGTTGCGCATCCCTCGTCATATCTACTTCCCAGACGTTTTCATCATCCTAAAGGGGAACCCCTTACCCCCTAAGCAGTGGCTCTCCCTGTCCCCTGTCCCAGCCCCTGCAAACCCGTCTGCTGTCTCTGCAATGCTGCTTCTTCCCAACGTTTCCGCTCAGCGGAATCAGACCACTTCTGGCCTTTGGTGCGGACTCCTAGTGTTTTCAAGTTCCAGGCATGCTGTAGCCTGTATCAATGCCTTGTTCCTTTTTCGTTTTATTTTATTATGGTAGAATAAATATAACATTTGCCACTGTGACCCAATTTAAGCTACAATTCAGTGACTTGAGTTAAATTCACAGAGCTGTGCAGCCAGCACTATTGATTATTTCCAGAACCCTTTTGTCACCCTAAACAGAAACTCATCACCCATTAAACAATTACAACCCATCTCTACTACTCCCTGATAACCACCAATCTACTTGGATGACTATGTACATATTATCTGCTCTTGATAGCTTACACAAGTGGGATCATACATTCGTCCTTTTGTGTGTGACTTAGTTCACTCTAACATATTGTTTTCAAGGTTCACCTATATTGTAGCATTCTCCAAGTCTTTCTGTGGCTGAATGCTATTCCATTGTGTGGCTAGACCACATCTCGTTAAACCACTCATCTGTCTCCACATGGCTCTTGTGAACATGCTGTGATGGCCATGGCTATGTGCCTCCTTTCAGTTGTTTGGGGAGCTGCTGGGTCATATGGTCACCCTGAGTTTAACTTTTAAAGGCATCACCAAGCTGTTATCCACAGCAGCAGTACCCCTTTATGTTCCCACCAGCCATGGACGAGGGTTCTGGTTTCACCACATCCTTGCCAACACTTGTTACTTTCCCTCTGGTTTCACCACATCCTTGCCAACACTTGTTACTTTCTCTCTCTCTCTCTCTCTCTGTGTATATATATATATATATATTTAAAGAGAGAGTCCTGGTGTGGCACTGTGGGTTAATGTGCCAGACTGCAGAGTCATTGAACTGCAAGGCCGGTGGTTCAAGCTCATCAGCTGCTCCTTGGAAACCCTACACAGGGTTGCTATGGGTCGGAATCAACTCGACGGTACTTAACAACAACAAATATATACACACACACACACACACACACATATATATATATATGGTGGTGGTTATGTGCCAAAGAGTCGGTCCTGACTCATATATGCATTCTAGCCATTCTAGTGAGTGTGAAGTGAGTGGTACCTTGTGGTTTTGACTTGTATTTACCTAATGACTGTGATGCTGAACTTTTTGACCATTTGTTCATCTTCTTTGGAGAAAGTCTATTTGAGTCTTTTTCCCACTTTTCCATTTGTTTGTGCATCTCTCTGTTGTTGAGTTATAGGATTCCTTAGATATTCTACATTCTAGACCCTTATGAGCTAAATGATTTACAAATATACTCTCCCATTCTGTAGATAGTACCTAGATAGTACCTAGACAGTACCTAGACAGTACCTAGATAGTACCCTAGACAGTACCTAGATAGTACCCTAGACAGTACCTAGATAGTACCCTAGACAGTACCCTAGATAGTACCCTAGACAGTACCCTAGATAGTACCCTAGATAGTACCTAGATAGTAGCATAGATAGTAGCATAGATAGTACCCTAGACAGTACCCCAGACAGTACCCTAGACAGTACCCTAGATAGTAGCATAGATAGTACCCTAGACAGTACCCACATAGTACCCTAGATAGTACCTAGATAGTACCTAGATAGTACCCTAGACAGTACCCTGGACAGTACCTAGATAGTACCCAGATAGTACCCTAGATAGTACCTAGACAGTACCCTAGATAGTACCCTAGACAGTACCCTAGATAGTACCCTAGATAGTACCTAGACAGTACCC